TGCTTAGGGATATGATTCAACCGGCAGGATTACAGAAAAATCTCCCTGAAACATTCATTCCATGGCTCCACCCATTAAAGAAACCATATCTTCTTCTTTTCAACCCTCAGAGATCTAATGAAAGCATTTTCATTTTAAGTGGTTAACCAGCAACAGGGCCAAGAAAAAGCCATTATTTTCACAGAGAGTAAATTGTATTCTGTGTATAGAATATGGAATTTTATATAATTTTAAATTATAAAACTTAGAGATGTCCCAGGATCTTACTAGATAGGTAAAGGAGTATTCATAAAAAATTAAGACTTACATCCTGGGTTGTCTGATTCCAAGTCTAGTGTCTCTGCAACAATACTGCTCACTTCTCCTTTTCAGGGACTGTACTAGGCTCTAGGAGTTAACATTAGAGCAGTTCTTGGCTTGGAAGAGCTGATAGTGCAGTGTGAAAGACAGATATGTGGCAAATAGTGAGACTACAACAAGGGAAGTGCAACATCAGAGAGCAAATGGGATGGGAGCACTTCTAAAAGAGTAGGTTTAAGGGACACTGGCTCTGCTCATTTTGGGGTGCGGCATCAAGGAAGCAGGAGTCTTCACAATGGAGACATTTGAGTTGGGGCTTGAAGAATTCAGAGTTTTTCTGAACGTATGTGTGTGGAAGGGGCGAGAGGATGATTAGAGACAGAGAAATAGCATCTTCAAATACATATAACGTCATGAAATCAGTGGGTATGTGAATGACATCAAGATTTTAACTATAGTGAACAAGTGAACAAGAGAAAGAGCAAGTATGAGGAAGTCAGGGAAGAGCGAGACATAATGTGTTTAGTTTGGAGTGTGGTGAATTTAAAGCATGTGTGGGTTTTCCAGGTGAAAATGTCCAGTAGACAGTAGAATACATAGGTATGGAGCTTTCAACAGAGGTAGGAACTAGAGATAAAGATTTTGGAATCATTGATGGGTTAAAGGTGGCTGAGATCACCCAGCTGGGGCATATAATTCAAGAAGAGTAGATAATGAACCACCCCTGATCTGTCATTTTATTACACTGTGACGGCTTGATTGTTGCTATGATGCTGGTATTTCAACCAGCATCATCATCCATGGGCAACAGTTTCAGTGAAACTTTCAGTGAAGGTTCGGTGAAACTTCCAGACTAAGCCTAGGAAGAAAGACCTGGAGATCTACTTCTGAAAACCAGCCAATGAAGTATGGATCACAACAGAGCATTGTCCGACTAGTTTGCTTTGGGCACATCATTAGGAGAGCTCAAATCCTGGAGGAAGACATCATGTTTGGTGAAGCAAAAGGCCAACGAAGGTGTGAGACACCTTCCAGAAGATAGATTGGCTCAGTAGCTGCAACGACAAGCTCAAACATGCTGGTGATTATGAGTATGACACTGGACCAGGCAACATTTTGCTCTATTGTACCTAGGTGACCACGAGTCAGAGTCAATTTAACAACAGCTAACAAAACAAGACAGATAATGGAAGATGGCACCTGGGGAGAAGCAACACTTAATAAGCAGCACTGTGGTATAAACTAAAGCTATAATTTATCTACATTTTGGGTTGAACGAGCTGTTAAGAGTTGACCCAAGACCCATTCCACCATTTACGGTACTTCTTATGTAAAAAAGCAGAGTAAGTTCAAGCAACTTATAAATTAGTTTAGAGGCATAAACTGTTTATAAGCTGGGCACTTGGATATACTTCCTTTTTTGTTGTTGTTTACTTATCCCAAATATACCATTTTATCCTATGATTCCAATGTACCTGAATTTGGAAATCAATTCCTAGCTTAGCCTGTCCACACACTTTGTGTTTTTATTGCATTTGAGCATGTCTTCAGTTATATTCTATATATTCTAAGTAATTCTGGTGGGTTTGAACCATCAATCTTCTGGTAAGCAGTCAAATGCCTTAGGCACTGTGCCACCAGAGCTCCGTCAAGTAACTCAAGTATGATAACATCCAACTCGTGCCATCAAAGCAAACAAACTTTGTGTGCCATGCGCCTAGCATTGTGCTAATTGCTTTTCTTTCCTTCTGCCACTTTGGTTGGCACCAGAGAAGAATCCTGGGCATGGAGCATTTTTAATTCAAGTAGGACCTTTTCAGAAACAATATTGATGTTCAAGAGGCAATTGCTTGTGGAGTCAGGACTATTGATGTGGTAAGGCTCTCAGAAACACCTCGTTTTAAAACCTCTGTGTGATATCATTATCTTATAATTCTTTTCCTACTTTTATTAAAATACTTGTGAAGTGTTTTACAATTGTTTCTTTTTTTGTTTCAAGTTCATTTGAAAGAGTTAAACACTAAACTCCCCGCTCTTCAGTATATTTAATATGTGTGACTATTATTAGAGATGTAAAAATATAATTACTATTTGGCACATCTTAGATATGTACAATGTCATTAGTTTTATTCAGAATGTATAAAAGAAGGAAATGGTTCATTCTGTAAGAGCAATTTGAATCTTCCCATGTATCCTCAGTAAGAACAACAGTAATAGGATCAATCACCTCTGGAGAAAGAACTTCTTTTAATACCTTAGCTTTATTGTGGAGTGAGATGGGAGAGAATGTTCTTGTCTCATTAGATTGGACTGTTCTAGTAGCTCAGAATAAGTTGGAGGTAGTGGTCCTGGGTTGGGAACACTTGCATGCCAATACGTAAGTTGGATGCCTGGTGAAGAGGAAGAAGAGATTCTAGACTTCATGCCTAATGTTGAATTCTGCCAGTGTCCTTCCCCTTATCGTAACACACCAATCAAACTTCTACCCAAGTCTATCCAAGCTCTTGAGTTACACATTCACAGTCCCTTGGTTTATTTCCTGTAGCTAAATATCTATTATTATATTCACTTCTCTCAGTATCTGCTCTTTTCTTATTCCAACCTTAGCTCTGTCAGAATTAGGTGTATCTACCACTCCCACCACCACTTCACTGACACAATTGCTTGAAGAGTGAATATGAGGTAAAGAATTAGAGACAGCAAGAGCAGACTTCTTGGAACTTACTGATAAAATTATGGAGAAAGACTTAAACTCTAGGAAGTTGTAGGAGAATCTTTTGTGGATTTTTTTTTTTGTGTGTGTGTGTGTGCTTGACGTCAACCAAGCTGAAAACGACATTCACCCTGACTCCTCCCTTCCCCTCCTCCCAATCTCTTTATCAAACTCACTCCTGCTCTGCAAACATGGAGACCCATGTAGCAGTTCCTGGATCACCTAACCAACCTTCAAACCTTCTATCTCAAGCTGCAACCCTTCTATTCTCCATTCAGCTGCTGGTGTTCTTTCTAAAATGTAAACTTGATCGTGTCAGCCCCTATCTTAAACCCCTTGCATGAATTCTCATTGACCTCAGGAGAACATTCAAACCCTTAGCATAACCTATGAGGATATTGTTCTGAATCCTGCCTACTTTTTCAGCCTTCTGTTTTCACTCGACTCCTTGTATAACATACTCCGGCTACTTTAAATGACATGCAGTTGTTGAATGGCCATACTCATACTCACCCCCATATATTTGCATGTACTATTATTCTTTCCTTAGCTCTGGTGGCATAGTGCCTAAGATATTTGACTGCTAACCAGAAGCCTAGTGGTTCAAACCCACCTGCCACTCCTTGGAAGGAAGACTGGGCAATCTACTTCTGTAGAGATACCAAAGCAAACCAAACTCACTGCCACTGAGTCGATTTCAAGTCATAGAAACCCCTCCTTGGGTTTCTGAGGCCTCGGAAACCCAAGGAGGAGTTGCTATGAGTCAAATCGAATCAATGGCAGTGAGTTTATTTGTTTTTTGCTTATGGAATACTCTATCTTCTTCCTTCTGCCTCCTCCCCTATGACCCAACTATTTCCTGCTAGTCCTTTGGGACTGAGCTGAAATATCACTAATTCTGAGAAGACTTTCCCTGATTGTCTCAAATTTGGGAAGGTGCACCGTGTATTTACTATGTTATCAAATCATTTTCTTTTCTTTCTTTTTTGTCAGTGTGGGAGGGGTTTTATTTTTCATTTTGCTTATTGCAATTTGCTTGAAGTTTACAGATACAGCTTCAACAACTTCAGTGGCAGAAAACTCGCTGCTAGCCAAGAAGTGTGCAGACAGCTAAATTCCTAATCTCCTTTATTCTCTGGTTCTGTCAGAACTATTTTTTAAAGAGTTTCCTTGAAAAACAAAGCCCCCACGTTATGTTTCTGGGACTGTCAGACAAATTGTAAACCTTGAATAATGGCAAGATACAACCCCTCTCCCCGCCCCCTTCTCAAGCCTTCTAGCACTTCTGAAATTTGTATGCTAAAGGGAAGAGAAGAAACCCTACCGTCTGTATGTCATGGTTTGCCTTGTTTTCCAAACTGCCAGGACTCAGTGATCTACCTCGATATTGAAATTCTACCAGGGCTAAAGCACAGATAGAAACAAGTGGAATTCATCAATGCGGCTGAACAGGAGCTGCTTGGAGCAGACAGATCTAGTCTTTGCAGTATGACCCCACGTAATTCCAACTCACCCCCTTGAGCTTGCCACCTGCTCCCTTTACAGTAATAAAGCTGCAACCAAGTGAACCTGCAAAAAATTAAGCTGCAACCAAGTGAACCTGCGTGTTTTCTAGAAACAGCCTTTGTAGCCCTACTGGAGTTTTATTTCTAGAGTGGGAGCCGGGCTAGGGATGGGGGCTGGGGGGGGGCAGTGCGCCAGCCAGGCAAAGTGGGGGATTAGGCTTGTCAGAGTCAGAGCGCGTCACCGTCGCTGGGAGAGACTCTAGGCTACCCAATAGGCAGAGGCGCTCGGTAGCAGCCTGGTGGGAGCAGAGAAATAAAAGTGCCGAAACAAAACCTGAGTGTGCCAGTCGAGGGCTAGTGGCAGCCAGCGAGCGGGCGTCCGGCTGGGCACAGGGGCCGGTGAGCCGTGCTCCGCTCAGTCCAGAAGGTTCTCCTCGGAACAGCCCTGTGCCCCCTTTTGCCCGCACCCGACTATTCACCGGGACCTGCGGCGAGATCACGACTGCGGAGTCCCACCGAAAAGTGGCCCCTGCAGAATGCTCCCTCACTTCTTGGTGCTCTGCCTCCTGCACTCAGTGCAAGCCACCGAGGGCCCCGAGAGCGGCGGGGACAACCAGAGCCTGGAGGCGGCGCTCGCCGCGCCCAACGCCTCTCACTTCTTCTCCTGGAACAACTACACCTTTTCGGACTGGCAGAACTTTGTGGGCAGGAGGAGGTACGGGGCCGAGTCCCAGGACCCCACGGTGAAAGCCCTGCTCATCGTGGCTTACTCCTTCATCATCATCTTCTCGCTCTTTGGGAACGTCTTGGTGTGTCATGTCATCTTCAAGAACCAGAGAATGCACTCGGCCACCAGCCTCTTCATTGTCAACCTGGCTGTCGCTGACATCATGATCACACTCCTCAACACACCTTTCACTTTGGTAAGGCTAGGGCGGCTGGCTGCGGTCCAGGCTTGGCTGGCTCACCTTCGTCCTGGCTAGACTACCCCCCACCCCTCCGCTCCAGCTCACTGGCTTTCTTAGTCTCTGGCTCATGTCTCAACTCCCTGTCTCTGCCATTCTGTCTCTTTCTATTATTCTCTTTCTTGGGGGTTTCTCCTTTGTCTCCTCGCCCCCCAATTTCTGTGTGGGACTGTCTTTCTTTCCTCCCTGCCTGTCTCCCCCAGTCTCTTTTCTTACTTGCTCTCATCCCTCAACATTCTACTGTTTTTCTGTCTCTTTTAGTGTCTTTCTCTGTGTCATTCTGTCTTTCTGTCTCTGTTCTCTTTTCTCTTTCTCTCTCTGATGTGTTTTGGTTTCTCCACTCTGTCTCCTTGTGTCTTTACCCTTCCTTCTCTCTGTGATTCTTCTTCTTTCTGTCACCTATTTATGACCCTTCCTGCGTTATACATTTTTCCATCTCCTCTCTTTCTCCTCCCACCTTTTCAGTCAGAGCTTCTGCATATAGCTTCTGCATATGTCACTGGGTCAGTGATTGGAGTATGTGCAGCCAGTGGTGAATGAATGACCATTTATTTTCTCTGCCACCCCACTGGGCATGGGTGTGCTTGATAATTGAACTGTAAACCACAGCCCCAGAAGAGTCCACAAAGATTGTTAGGTCACCCCCTGTCCTTGAAGTGCAGCCTTTTAGATACTCCCTCCGCCATGGGATGCTGCTTTGTGCTGGAATATCAAATAATTGCTCATTGTTAATGGAACATTAAGTGTGTTGTCCTAGACAGCTTCTTTAAATGACATCTCCCTTCTGTGGTGTGACAGTGAAGCTGTGTTGGGGAGGAGATGAGAGTGAGATAGGCTTGGCCCGCTGAGCTGGGATGGGCAGGGGCATTTACATACAAGGCTTCCTCCTCTAACGCTGGCTGCTCTGCATTGGTGGTGTGTGGTGTCTGCCCCTCTGTGGTTCTCATGGATGATTTAGATCTTCAAGGACTATGACTGCCAGATCATGATGACAGTTATGATACCTCATGTTTCTGAAGTATGAGTCAATTTTTTCAAATTATAGAATAATTTTATTGTCATTTGAGTTATTACCAGAGCAGTATTTGTTTATCTCTCTCACTCTTTTACTCATACAACCAGAAATAGCAAACAAGCAAAAAGAGGGTGAAGCCCCACAAGTCCATCCACTTATGTGAATGTCCTTCCACACCCTGTATTTTAAAAGGAATCTCACATTCCCTCTCTTGCCCTCATGTCTGAGAAGATTATTCACATTTTACAAATGAGCAAACTAGGGCACAAAGCAGTCCAGTTGACAGTTGATGGTGTGTTGAGGGAATGTTGAGTGGTTCAGTGTAACTGGAGCAGGGGAGGCTGGAAGCACAGTGAAGGAGTAGGGCAAAGGGAGAGAAGAATGGGAAGGAAGCCAGAAAGGAAGGTTGGGGTAAGGCTGTGAATGGGCCCAGATACTCTGGTAAGGCATCTGGCTTTGTCCTGAGAGCACAGGGAGCCAATAAGGATTCTGAGCTGGAGGGTAACAATAATCAGATTTTTGGTTAAGAAAAATGCTGTCAGCAATGCAAGGGATAAATTAAAAGAGGACAAGACTGGAGAACAGGGAAAGGTGTTAGGAGGCTAGAAAAGTGCAGATGAGATGATGGTGGACTCAACTAGGAGCATAGCTTTGGGATGGAAGAGGGAATAGATTTCAAAACTATTTAGAGGCAGAACTGCTTGGATTTGGTAATGGATTGAAGGTAGGCGGTGAGAAGTAGAAGTAGTTGAAGGTTCCTAGCTCTATAATGTTCCTGGACAGCCAGAAAGCTTTCAATGGCTCCTCCCTGCCTCCCCAAAAGAGTGTGAAGTCCACAGTATGCTGTCCTCATGTCATGATCTGGCCAGATTTGTCATTCACAACCCATATCCACACACTCTAGCTAAATTCCCACAATCCTGGGATTTTTGATCCTGTGCACATGCCCATTGTTCTTATCTACACATGTGCAAATCTCATCTACTCTTTAAAGCTCATGTTAGAGATCTCATATATTATAATAATGGCAGTTAGCTTTGTTAAGTACTCACTGTGTACTACACACTGTTGTACCTACTTTACGTGTATTATCTATCTTATCTGATTTTCGTAACAACCATGTGAAAGTGGAGAGCCCCATTTCACATGCAAAGAAAGTAAGGACTGTTGTTGTTGTTGTCAGGTGCCGTCAAGTCAGTTCTGACCCTATGTACAACAAAACAAAACACTGCCCAGTCCTGTGTCATCCTCACAATCATTGTGATGTTTGAGTTCGTTGCTGCAGCCACAATGTCAATCCACCTTGTTGAGGGTCTTCCTCTATTTCGCTGACTTTCTGCTTTACCAAGCATGATGTCCTTTTCCAGGAACTGATCCTTCCTGAAAACATGTCCAAAATACATGAGAAAGTCTTGTCATCCTCCCTTCTAAGGAACATTCTGGCTATACTTCTTTCAAGACCTCATTCTTCTCCCAGTCTATGGTATATTTAACACTTTTTGCCAACGCCATAATTCAAATATATCAATTCTTCTTTGGTCTTCCTTATTCATTGTCCAGCTTTTGCATGCATATGAGGTGATTAAAAACACCATTGCCTGGGTCAGGTGTACCTTAGTTCTCAAAGTGAAATCTTTGCTTTTGAACACTTTCAAGAGGTCATTTGCAGCACATTGGCCCAATGCAATATGTTGTTTGATTTCTTAATTGCTCCTTCCATGGGCGTTGATGGTGGATCCAAGTAAAATGAAATACTTGACAATTCAATCTTATCTCCATTTACTATGATTCTGCTTATTGGTGCAGTTGTGAGGATTTTTTTTTTCTTCTTTTGTTTACATTGAGGTGTAATCCATACTGAAGGCTGTAGTCTTTGATCTTCATCGGTAAGTACTTCAAGTTATCTTCACTTTCAGCAAGTAGTCTGTGTCATCTGCATACAGCAGGTTGTTGATGAGTCTTCCTCCACTCCTAATGTCCCATTGTTCTTCATATAGTCCAGCTTCTCAGATTATTTGTTCAGCATATACATTGACTAAATATAGTGAAAGATACAACCCTGACAGATACCTTTCCTGATTTTAAACCATGCAGTCCCCTGTTTGAACGACTGTCTCTTGGTCCATGTACAGGGTCCTCACGAGCACCATGAATTCCTGTTCTTTGCAAGATTACCCATAACATGTCATGATCTGCATGGTAAAATGCCTTTGCATTGTCGATAAAACACTGGTAAACATCTTTCTGGTATTCTCTGCTCTCAGCCAAGATCCATCTGACATCAGCAATGATATCCCGCATTCCACATTCTCTTCTGAATCCGGTTTGCATTTCTGGAGGTTCCCTGTCAATATACTGCTGCAACCATTGTTGAAATATCTTCAGCAAAATTTTACTTGTGTGTGTTATTAATGATAATGTCAGATAATTTCCAGATTCTGTTGGACTATCTTTCTTTGGAATGGGCACAAATCTGGATCTGTTCCAGTAGATTGACCAGGTAGCTGTCTTCCAAATTTCTTGGCATAAATGATTGAGTGCCTCCAGCACTGCATCCATTTGTTGAGACATCTCAATGGGTATTCCATCCATTCCTGAGCCTTGTTTGTCATCAAGCCTTCAGTCCAGATTAGAATTCTTCCTTCAGTACCATTAGTTCTAGATCATATGCTACCTCCTGAAATCGTTGAACATTAATCATTTTTTTTTCTTGTACTGTGACTGTGTATTCCTTCCATCTTCTTTTGGTGTTTTCTACATTATGCAATGTTTTGTCCATAGAATCCTTCAGTATTGAAATGCAAGGTTTGAATTCTTCAGTTATTTCAGCTTGAGAAATGCCAAGCATGTTCTTCCTTTTTGGTCTTCTAAGTTCAGGTCTTTGCACATTTCATTATACTTACTTTGTCTCCCCAAACCACCCTTTGAAATCTTCTGCTCAGATCTTTTACTTCATCATTTCTTCCATTCACTTTAGTTACTGTATGTTCAAGATCAAGTTTCAGAATCTCTTCTGAGATCTATTTTGGTCCTTCTTTTTCTCTTTCTAGTAAATGGCCTTTTGCTTTCTTCATGTATGTTCTGGATGTCATCCCACAACTCATCTGGTCTTCAGTCATTAGTGTTCAATGTGTCAAATCTATTCTTGAGATGGTCTCTAAATTCAGGTGAGATATACTCAAAGTTGTACTTTGGCCCTCAATTATTTGTTTAAATTGCCTTCAGCTTCAATTTAAACTTTCATGTGAATAATTGATGGCCTGTTCATAGTTGGCTCCTGATTTTGTCCTGACTGATTATATTGAGCTTCTCCATCATCTCTTCCCACAGATGTAATTGATCTGATTCCTGGGCATTCCAGCCGGTGAGGTCCACATATATACTTGCTGTTTATGTTGTTTAAGAAAGGTATTTGCAATGAATAAGTCATTGGTCTTGCAAATTCTATAATGCCATCATTATAGAATTATGTCATCATTTCTATCACCAGTGCCATATTTTCCACCTGCTGATGCTGCTTCTTTGTTTCAGACTTTCCCATTTCAATCACCAGTAATGGTTAGTACATCTTAATTGCATGTTTGATCAATTTCAGACTGCAGAAGTTGGTAAAAATCTTCACTTTCTTATATTTGGCATTAATGGTTGGTGCATAAATTTGTATAATAGTGTTATTAACTTGTGATCTTCCTTGTAGACATATGGATATTATGCTATCACTGACAGTGTTGTACTTCAGGAAAAATCTTTTTGACAATGAATTTGATGCCTTCCCTATATAATTTGTCATTTCTGACATAGTAGGCCATATGATTGTCCAAGTCAAAACGGTCAATATCAATCCATTTCAGCTCACTAATGCTTAGTATATTGATCTTTATGCATTCTACTTCATTTTGGATGACTGCAATTTTCTTAAATTCATACTTTGTACATTCTATGTTCTCATTATTAATGAATGTTTTCAGCTGTTTCATCTCATTTTGAGTCATGCCACATGACTTCATTTGCTAATGAAGGTCCCCAAAACTTTACTCCATCCATGTCATTAAGGTCAACTCTACTTTGAGGTGGCAGCTCTTCCCCATTCATACTTTGAGTGTCTTCCAACCTGAGGGGCTCTTCTTCTGGCACAATATATTAGACAGTGTTCCACTGCTGTTCATAATGTTTTCACTGGCCAGTTTTTTTTTTTAAGTAGATCACCAGGTCATTCTTCCTAGTCTGTCTTTGTCTGAATGCTCCACTTAAGCCTGTCCACCATGGGTGACACTGTTGGTATTTGAAATACTGGTGGCATGGTTTCAAGCATCACAACCAATCAAAAGCCACAACAGTACTAAAACTGACAGATGAGTAGTGGAAGTGAGGCCTACAGGCTATAAATATTTGCCCAAGGTAACAGATAAAAGTGGCAAAATGATGCTACAAACCACAATACTACTTTTTCTGTCTGGCTGACTTCTCTCTTTCTATCTGTATCATCTCTCTCTCCTGCCCACGCCTACATCAAGGCTCTTTGTCTGAGCCTTCTGAGGGCACTGTTTACTTTCTGTCTTACATCAGGGTTAGGTAAGTCCTCCTCTGTGTAAACTGGAAGCTCCTTGGTCAGAATCCATCTTCCATCTATCTCAGGCATGAGGAATGGCTCACAGAAGCTGCTCAAGTACTAACTGAGTGAGTGAACAGTCCTGGGTTTGTGGGATGAGCCCTCAGCCTGCTCCTGGGGCCCCCATATTGTTCACTGAGCTTGTCTTCTCTCCCTACTAGAGAAAATTCATCTGCCTACCCAGCCCCCAACTCATACCTCTCTAGAACCCTGAATCCCCCTCCCAAAGGATGAGTTCCAAGGCCTGCTTTAGTCAAGATTTGCTAGCTCAGACTACACTGTGTTGTAAGTTTTCAGATGTGTCTTCCCCATTTGACTGAAGTCCACATAGGCCAAGAATGAATTTTCTTATTACTCATAAAAAATAGCTACTATTTATTTCTAACAATAGCTTTCTGACAATCTGTAAGACACAATGTTCTGCCTTTCACAGACTTTTTAAAAATTTAGTCCTTACAGAAAGCTTTTGAGGTATAGATTTTTAAGTCTTTATTGCAAATGAAGAAACTGAGATGTAGAGAGATTGCATCCGTTGCCCAATGTTACATGGCCAGAAACTATTAGAAATGGGAAGTCTGACTCCAAAGCCCACATCCTTCCCAAGATCTCCTGGCACCTAATGCAGGGCTTGGCTCCAACAGCATGTTCTTTGAACTGAATGAATGAAGAATGAAGAGTGCTAGAGAGATCGCATGTGACCCATGTTTCAGGAAGAAGGGAGGAGTGGGAAGAGAACTCTGTTGGAGGGGGAGATGTTTCCCATGGGGTGCTGGGTATCAAAGTCAAGGTCATGTGTCTCCTGACTTCTGTGGGTTCATCTCCAGGTCCGATTTGTGAACAGCACATGGGTGTTTGGGAAGGGCATGTGCCACGTCAGCCGCTTCGCCCAGTACTGCTCCCTGCACGTCTCAGCACTGACACTGACAGCCATTGCTGTGGACCGCCATCAGGTGAGGACACCTACCTTAATGGTCTGTCCTTCCCACTCTGGCTTTGCTTTCAAGGGGCTGCCAGGATCTCTCATGACAATGTTATCATCCACTTGTTCAATTAGTGTATTTGTCAATATGAGCACTTACATTAGAAAGTAAACCCTCTGTCATAGATGTTGCAAAAATTCTTCCCCATGTGATGTTTCAGCAAGGATTTCTGATGTCACAAATTCAGTGCTGGCATTTTCTGTCTCAGAAACTGATGAGCTTGTTTTGGGAGTAGAATAACAAACATTGAAAAACACTACTGAAAAGAGAGGCAAATAATTACAGATCAGAGACATGCTTCTGACTGGGAGATGGAGTGGTGGTTCATTGGTCCAGGCTGTCAAGGAGGAAAGCAGGCTTGGGTGTCCAGGTGACAGGAGTGGTATCTAGGGTGGAGAATAGTAGAATTCAGGGGCAGGCCTTGCTTGCTTGCTGTTCTACCCTTTTGGAAACATCTAGGCTGGCCAGGTGAGGGAAACCAAGGAAGACCTGAAGATGTTCATCCTGGAGAGCATGGCTTCACTCCCTGAACATACTACACAATGAACCATGTTGCATACTCAGGCCCCCACTAAATCACAGAATGGAGGTTCAGAAAAGCATCTTTTATATACCTGATGAATGACAAGGGCAGGTTAGAACTGAGGTCTGTATGATTCTAAACCAAGGCTCTGATCACTGGGCCACCTGCTTTGAGAAGATTCAAGGGAGCCTACAGGTCAATATAGGAGCTCTGGTAGCATAGTGCCTAAAGTATTTGACTGCTAACCAGAAGGCTGGTGGTTCAAACCCACCAGTCAGGCGGTTCAAACCCACCTTCCTCAGAAGGAAGGTTGGGCAATCTACTTCTGTAGTGATACTGCCTGAGAAACCCAAGGAGGGGTCGCTATGAGTTGGATCCGACTCCACGGCACATAACAACAACAACAACAGGTCAGTACAGAGTATGGCCATTGGGACAAAGAGATGGGGTGTATTCTGAGTAATACCATGAGGTGCAACAAGGGCCAAGGAGCAGCAGGGTGCAAAAATGGAGATTCAGAGATGCAATTTAGTTTTGATCAACTATCTGATAGAATAATCCTAATTGAAAGGGGAAAAATGTAGAACAGAATTTTATATTCTCATGCAATACAGATTTTTTGGTGCCATTGAGGCTGGATGAACCCACAAACTATTGCCCTGAGATAATCTTTAAACTTGAAATGAAAAATTCCTTCTGAAGTCTTTTTTAAACCAGACAATAGTTTAGCTTAACTAGCAAAGAACATCTGCCTTGAGCACTGTGCTCTTTTAAAGAACTGTCTGTATAAGATCAAATTGACAGCAGTACCTAGAGAAGTTAGATAGGCAGCTTAGTGGGCAGTGAGCTTACATTAATGGGGAAAGAATGGTTCAGAAAAAAAGGATGAGAATGGTTGCACAACTTGAAGAATGTAATTAATGTCACTGAATTGTTCATGTAGAAATTGTTGAACTGGTGTGTGTTCTACTGTGTATAATTTCAACAACAACATCAAAAAAAAATAAAGTATTTAGAAAAAAGGGAAGAACAATTCTAATCTTAAAATGAGAATGTTTTTAAATTCCCAAGTCTTTGTTGAAACCTCTTAGAAGAATTGATTGACATGAAGTAGCAATTCCAAGATGAATTTCAACTTGAAGCCTGGTTTTACAATAAGTGTAAAACAGCTGGGCTCCATTGCAATTCTAGACACACCTTTCATAAACAATGTTGTGTACATCCAAGTAAATGTCAGTGCAGCTTCCCATGATAAATGATTAGGGTTCCCCTTCATGTCTGTCACCTTCAGACTCTCAGAGCCCCTCAAAACCTAGGTGAGCTAGGATCATGGGAAGAAGAACTCAGTTCCCAGTGTGGCATTGCTGGCATTGGTGTGAGCGCTGTGCAAGCTGACTCCTCCCAGGTCCTCTCCCTGGATCCCAGCTTTGTCTGGATATGACTGGCAAGAGGCATTTGATTCTCATTGATCCCAGACCTTCTGGGACCATGGAGGCTGAATGAACTCCTGAAACTGTTGCCTTAAGATCACCATTAAACCTTAAATAAAAAAAAATCCCCTGAAGTTGTCTTAAAATCCAACAGTAGTTTAACTTAATAGTGAAGAATGTCTACCTTGAATGTTGTGTTCTTTTAAAGAACTATATGGGATCAGGCTGACAACAGCAACTCAGCAAGGTTAGATAGGAAGCTCCTGGGCAGGGCGTTTATGTTAATGGGGAAGAGACAGTCTGGAAAAGGAGGGTGAGATTGGCTGTACAACTTAAAGAATACAAGAAATGTCACGGAATCGTACGTGTAGAAATTGTTGAACTGGTCTATATTCTCCTGTGTATATTTTCAACATCAACAACAAAAAGAAATTATTTTATTTAAAAAGTGATATCAAATGCAAAAAAAGAAAAGGCATTTGAACTGCCAGGTGTCAGTGAGCCCAGATGACAACCTCTTTCTGCCCCCGGAGAAGGGCTGTGGGGTGGGGGATGGGGGGCATGGCCAGTGCAGCTCAGGGCCCCAGTGATGAACGCAAAGGCTGCCTGACTAAGAGCACCTGCCCTAATGGGCAGTGACAAGTGAGTTGGATCATCTGAATTTCTCATTTGCTTCAAAACTTCTCTAGCCAACGATGCATGGTTTGCTTGTGTTCTAGGTCATTATGCATCCGCTTAAACCCCGGATCTCAATCACAAAAGGCGTCATCTACATCGTTGTCATCTGGACCATGGCTACGTTCTTTTCGCTCCCACATGCTATCTGCCAGAAATTATTTACCTTCAAGTATAGGTGAGGTGCAGCTAACCAATACTGAGTGTCCTGGGGACATTGAGAGGCTGGCTTCCTGTGTTCTTCTGAGTCAACCGTCAGGCATCTCCTGGAGCCTTGACAAGGGGGAAAGCTGAGCCCCTTCTGAATCCACAACATGGCACAGTCACTGATGAGTTCCCTTAACTTCTTGGTGGTTTCTTGGTGCATGCCTATCCTCTGCATTTTTTTTTTACTTTCTCTCTTCTCAACAATTTTGCTGCTGTTCCAAAACCAAAAACCAAATGCACTGCCATAGAACTGTTTCCAATCCATAGTAACCCCCATAGGGTTTCCAAGGCTGTGAATCTTAACGGAAGCAGACTACCTCATCTTTTTCCTGTGGGGTGGCTGGTGGGCTCAAACCACTGACCTTTTGGTTAGCAGTCAAATGCCTTAACCACAGTGCCACCAGAACTCCTTGTTGTTAGCTACAGTCAAATTGGTCCCTGACTCATGACAACACCACAACAGAATGAAACACTGCCTGCTCCTGCACCAGGCCCATGAATCTGTCAGGGATTGGACCTTTGTGATCCATAGGATTTCCACTGTCTGATTTTCGGAAGTAGGTAGTCAGGTCTTTCTTAGACTGTCTTAGCCTGGAAGCTCTGCTGAAGCCTATTTAGTATCATAGCAACATATCAGCTTGTCCTGACAGATGAGTGGGCTGCACATGAGATCCAATGGTTGGGAATTGGACCAGGGTCTCCCACAGGGAAGGCAGGAATTTTAACACTGAAGGAAACAACTAGCTTCTTCGTTATTCTCTTTCTAGTTCATCTGAGTGGGCAGAACAACGGTTATCAACTTCTGTCACTAGGGGGCATGTACTCCCAGACTGAGATTGAAACCTTCAAGGCCTTGTTTAAAAAGAGCAATGTTTAAATTAGAGATTCAAACCAGTTCATTCTGATTCGACCTCTTGTGAGAATTTGCATTTCCATTCCAGATATGCTAATCAGAATCTACAGGTTAACAAGATCTCCAGATGATTCTTATAGATCCCCAGGTAATTCTTATGTATAAGCCAAAAAACCAAACTCACTGCCAACCGACTCATAGTGACCCCCATTGGATTTCTGAGTCTGTAAATCTTTATAGAAGTAGATTGCCCTATCTTCTTTCCACAGAGTGGCTGGGGGGTTTGAACTGCCAACCTGCTGGTAGTGGTCAAATGTCTTAGGCACTGTGCTGCCAGAGCTTCATAATTCTTATATGTACATCTTGTTAAAATGTAGATTCTGATTCAATATATTTAGGATGGAAATGCTAATTCTCTGCAGGGGTCAAACCAAAATGAACCAGTTTGAAGCCCTGATTTTAGCCCACACCTAAAGACAGAAATATGTATGTGTCTAAATGTCTGAAGTAGAACTCTCTACTTTCCCACCTACTATTCTAGCTTAGGTTTCTTTACTAGTATGCTCTCATAAAATGAGAATTCTTTCTCTCAAAGCACTCGGTTTTTAAAATTTAAACCCTCATGTGTGTACCAGTTCATTAAAGGCAGTCTTCTCTGTTAGATTGTAATTTTGGAAAGTGCTGGGCCCATTTCTGATTTTGCTACCACTGTGTCCCTAGTAGGAGCTCTGGTGGCTTAGTGCCTAAGGCACTTGACTGCTAACCTGAAGGCTGGCAGTTCAAACCCACCAGCCACTCCTCGGAAGGAAGACTGGGCAATCTACTTCCGTAGAGATACCACCTCGGAAATCCAAGGAGGGGTTGCTATGAGTCAGAGCCAACTTGACAGCAGTGAGTTTGGCTTTGTGTGTGTGTGTGTCCCTAGCACCTAGCTGTGATGGCATAGTGCCTCGCTCTTTTACTCATACAACCAGAAATAGCAAACAAGCAAAAAGAAGAGGATGAAGCCCCACAAGTCCATCCGCTTATGTGAATGTCCTTCCACACCCTGTATTTTAAAAGGACTCTCACATTCCCTCTCTTGCCCTCATTTCTGAGAAGATTATTCACATTTTACAAATGAGCAAACTAAGGCACAAAGCAGTCCAATTGACAGTTGTCGAAAGAAACCAATCCCAATGGCTGATTTCAGTTAATTTATCATTTTTAATTAAGTTATAAGTACTCCTTTTATGACTTCTAGGATATTTAATCAAATACCTAGATCCCCCACCAGCATTCAAGCATGAAGCACTTTTTTTTTTTTACTGCTAACAGAAACAAATAGAGCTTTCTCTTGCTTTCACTAGTGATGCACTTACAGGAACACCCAGCCTCGTGGATATCACTAAAAAGCATAAAGAGATGAGAGATGCATTCCATATGAAATAAACAGTTGTTGTATGTGTGGTAGAAGGTACAAATAATGGGTTAGTTCAGGCTTTGCCACTCAACATTCTCAAAGGCATTCATATCTTCATCCCATACCTTTGTTTTGCTCTGAATTGAGAGTGGATAGTACAACGGGAAATTCCAAGTTTCATGAATCCATGATTTTCCAAGGATGAATTAATTCTAAGATTAGGGACACTACTGTCTTATGTTTTATTGACTATGCAAAAGTATTTGATTGTGTGGATCATAACAAATTATGGATAACATTGAGAAGAATGGGAATTCCAGAACACTTGATTGCACTCATGAGGAAAGTGTACATAGATCAGGAGGCTGTCTTTTGAACAAAACAAGGGGATATTGCATGGTTCAAAATCAAGAAGGGAGTGTGTCAAGGTTGTATCCTTTCACCATACTTATTCAACTTGTATGCTGAGCAAATAATGAGAGAAGCTGGATTATATTAAGAGGAATGTGGCATCAGGATTGGAGGAAGACTCATTAACAACCTGCAGTATGCAGATGACACAGCTTTGCTTGCTGAAAGTGAGGATGACTTGAAGATTAAAGACTACAGTCTGCAGTATGGATTATACCTCAATATAAAGAAAACAAAAATCCTCACAACTGGTCCAATAAATAGCTTCACGATAAACAGAGAAAAGGTTGAAGTTGTCAAGGACTTCATATTACTTGGTTCTACAATCAACACCAATGGAAACAGCAGCCAAGACATCAGATGACGTATTTCATTGGGCAAATCTGCTGCAAAAGACCTCTTTCAAGTGATGAAGAGCAAAGATGTCTCCTTGAAGACTAAGGTGCGCCTAAGCCAAGCCATGGTACTTTCAGTCACCTCTTATGCATGTGAGAGCTGGACAATTAATAAGGAAGACCGAAAAAGAGTTAATGCTTTTGATTTGGAGAAGAATGCTAAGAGTATCATAGTCTGCTAAAAGGACTAACAAATCTGTCCTGGAAGAAGTGTAACTAGAATGCTCCTTGGAAGCAAGAGTGGCCAGACTTCGTCTCACCTCTTTTGGTCATATTGTCATAAGGAACCATTCTCTGGAGAAGGATATCATTCTTGGTAAAGTGGAGGGTCAATGATGAAGGGGAAGGCCCTCAACAATATGGATTGACACAGTAGCTTCAACGATGGGCTCAGATGTAGCATGAGGCTGCCACAGGACTGGGCAGTGTTTTGTTCTGCTGTGCACAGACAGGGTCATTATGAGTCAGAGACAACTCGACAGCACCTAACAACAACAGTGTTTCCTTCCTTCACTAGAATGAGGGCATTGTTGGTTCAGTGACAGAATTCTCGCCTTCCAGGAAGACCCAGTTTCAATTCCCAGCCCATGCATCTCACACACAGCCACAACCTGTCTGTCAGTGGACGGTTGTGTGTAGTTATGATGCTGAACCAGTTTCAATGGATTATCCAGACTAAGAAAGACTAGGAAGAAAGGCCTGGCAATCTGCTTCCAAAAATCAGACACTGAAAACCCTATGACTCCACAACCAATCATGGGGATGGAGCAGGATTGAGCAGCATTTTGTTCTGTTGTGGATGGGGTCAACATGAACTGGAGCTGACTCAGTAGCAGTTAACAACAACTACATTCCTTGTCTTCATAGAGCTCCCAGCCTAGAAGGGGAGCCAAAAAACTGTAATGTAATCAGATAGACTTCAGCATAAAAAGTGCTGCAACAGAGGGATGTACCAGGAGTCTAGTGGAGGGAGAGTCAGTGCTTATTAGGATGAGATCTTTCCACACTAATATCTTTGTCTCTGCTTCTGCCTCCACCCTTAGTGAGGACGTCATCCGCTCCCTATGCCTACCAGACTTCCCTGAGCCTGCTGACCTCTTCTGGAAGTACCTGGACCTGGCCACCTTCATCCTGCTGTACATCCTACCCCTCTTCATCATCTCGGTGGCCTATGCCCGAGTGGCCAAGAAGCTGTGGCTGTGCAACACAATTGGTGACGTGACTACCGAGCAGTACCTTGCCCTGAGGCGTAAGAAGAAGAAGACTATCAAGATGCTGATGCTGGTGGTGGTTCTTTTTGCCCTCTGCTGGTTCCCCCTTAACTGCTATGTCCTCCTCCTATCCAGCAAGGTCATCCGCACCAACAATGCCATCTATTTTGCCTTCCACTGGTTCGCCATGAGCAGCACCTGCTACAACCCTTTCATCTACTGCTGGCTCAATGAGAACTTCAGGGTTGAGCTGAAGGCATTACTGAGCATGTGCCAAAGGCTGCCCAAGCCTCAGGAGGACAGGCCACCCTCCCCTGTTCCTTCTTTCAGGGTGGCATGGACAGAAAAGAGCAACAACCAGAGGGCCCCACTAGCCAATAACCTGCCGCCCTCCTGTCACCTCCAGTCTGGGAAGACAGACCTGTCGTCTGTGGAGCCCATTGTGGCAATGAGTTAGAGGAGGTTGGGAAAAGGCAGAGGGAGGGATTTATCTCCAGCTAAGGTTGGAAAAGAGCCTGAGAAGTGGCCTCCCTCTCACGTACAACCATTAACAATGCTGGAAACAAGTTCACGCAGAAGCCATGGGACTCTTGAGTTTCTAGAATACTCTGCTTAGCCTCCCAAGACTATCTAATGTGAAAAATATAAGCCACTACCATCTAGACACATGATTATAAATTCCCATCTAAGAAACGCTGTGTAGCATATCATCCTGGTGCATGAGCAAGAGAGCTGAGCACAACTTCAGCTCAGATGGGTGTTAAGTCAGTCATTGCTCCAACTGTCTGGCAACTGGCTTGTGTACAACCCTCCCTACTGCTCAACTCAAGAAAACCTGACTCATAGCCAGGAAGATAGAGTTTTTAGTGTGTTGCCCCAGATGCAATGAGCTCTGCTTTGCTAAGGTTTGTTGGCCAGGGAAAGATAGGCAAGCCAGAGTTAGCACTGAGGTTTTCATGCCTTGCTTTCTAAAGTAGCTGGACCAGGATGTGTCACAATCCTGTGGTGGCCTGGCCATCTGTATGCAAGAAGGGACCAACTTGAGTATGTTAAAGAAAGAATTACTGTATTTCTCATATCAGAAAAAATTATTAGTAAAAGTTTAGAAAAGCATGAAAAAGAAAATAAAAATCACCCATATCCCACCAACTTATGATAACGTCTTTAAATGCGCTCTGGGCTTGCTTTTTTTTTTTTTTTTTCTCTATTTGTGTAGAGCTGTGTGTGTATGTATATACTTATTTTTTTCTGAGTTATACTTTTTTATTTAGACTGTAATGATAAGCACGAAACAGGGATATAGTAGAGTACTTGTGAGGTAAAGACTGTCCCTGCATAGGCAGAACTGGACCCAGGGGCCTGGCTGAAGTGCCTCCCCTAGGATGACAGCCACCATGTTAATCTGGGAAACAGAGTTCAGCCAGGAGGCATACTTCTGTCTTCCCTGCAATCACTTAGAAACAAGAGGCAGTGAAAAATTGTTCTGCTTTTACAGAAGATGAGGGAGCAGGCTTCCAACACACTGGAAATAATTGTGCTTAGACACCTTACCCTCACAAGCTGTCTAGACAGGCCATTTCTTTGTGTTGTCTGAATAATAAGGGTTCTTCAAGCCAGTTCTGAAAGAAGAATCAAAAGACCACCACCTCGGCACCTGGGGCTGTCAGAGCCTCATGTGCCACTTACAGAAACCTATGGAATTATGCTAATCCTTAAAGACCCAATTTTCCAGAGAAATCTTATTCCAGAGACTGAACGTTTTCATCACCTTCCATCTGGTCCTGAGTGACGCACTGTGTCACCCAAAAGAGAGATGTAGCAGGCAGAATTGAGCTTATTTTGCCAGCCTTAAACAGTTGCTACTCTCACACTAGTTTTAGGTCTTCTTCTAGCACCAGCTAGAACATGGCAGCAAAACATGGACATAGAACTGAGCAGGAAGCTGAGGTTCAAGACAGACAGGTTTGTCCAAGGATCACTCAGATCTCTTGGCTGTTAGCTGAAACTGAACTAGGCTGTACCATCAGCTTCCCTGGGTGATGGTACATGAAGACTCATTATACTATTCTCTGTTTATGGGAATGTTTGGAATTTCTCATGATACAAAAATCTAATAATCACCTTCTGAACAGTAGGTGATAAAGGGACTTTCATGGGGCAGAGAGTGCCTTCTAAGCCCATGTTGTGATTATTTTTAGTTGCACTTGAGATTCCAACTCACGGCAACCCCATGTCTGCAGAGGAGATCTGCTCCATGGAGTTTTCAAGGCTGTGATCTTCTGGAAGCAAATCGCCAGGCCTGTCTTCCAAGGCACCTTTAGGTGGGTTTGAATCACCGGCCTTCCAGTTAGTAGCCAGGCATTTAACTGTTTGAGCCACACAGGGACTCTTGTTAACCAACAGAGATTCCCAAATGGATCTTTCAGAACAAATATCTCCTATGCCAATGGGACTATGGCTATCCTTGTTGTCTTAACAATGCCACAGAAATTCTATGAGCCAGAGTGAGAACAGCCAGCGAGCTTGCAAAAAGTCCGTCCTGCTCTTGAACTCATGGGGAAAACTTCACTCCATTCCTCTGGGGGTGAGCGTGGGGATAGAAATACTGCCAACTTACAGAGAGGACCTTTCTCTGGAGGACAACTCACCATCAGTCCATTAGTTTCTGTGTCTCCTTGCAAAGAGATGTCAGCGCCCTATCTGTCACCTTCCCCTTGTTCCCTATGTACCTCTGAGCAAAAAGTGATTTGTATTTGTGAGTGTGACTTTCATATCACTTGAGTTTTTCCAATGTGCTGTAAGAAGTACTGTATTGTGAATGGCTGTGCCTCAATAAAACATGTTTTTGGTGAGTGGATTGTGCCTCCTGGGCTTGTGATTGTGTCACATGTGGTGACCTTTAAAGTGAAGTGTTGGCATGGATTAGACTAAGAGAGCCTGGAGACTGTCTACCCAAACCCCAGCCCCCCTCTTCTTTTTATGTATGTGTGTGTGTGTGTCTGTATATATATATATATTTGTGTGTATGAAAATAAGCACAGCAAAGGAGACACCATTTCAACAAATTGTCCATGCACAATTAAATGCCAATGACTATATTCCTCAAGATGTGCAACCATTCTCATGATACCCTTCCAAATCATTCCTCCACCATCAAAGCAGAGTCACTGCCTCTCAGGCCTCCCATCCAACTCTGGAGATGCTGCTGTCAACCTGATCTCACATAGATGAATTTTTAAGAGAGCACAATGCTCAAGGCAGACATACCTTACTAACTGGGCTAAACTGTTACTTCAGACACCTGCATTTTACAGATAAGGAAACTTACACCATCAGAGATTATAAACCCAGTTCAAAAACCTCAAACCTCTGACTCTTAGTCTAGTGCTTTCTCCATGCAGTTGGCTGTCAAGTCACCTCCTTGGTGATGATAAATCTGTGTGCCATGTTTTATCCTAGGACTCCATCTGTTCCTCCATGCCTTGAGAGCACTCTTCACATCTGGCTTTATAGAGTGGGTATATATTCCCTGTTTATGATGATTTCTGCCTCATTTGGGCCTGGTGTCCCACTATCCTGTAAGTTGTTGTTGTTAGGTGCCATTGAGTTGACTCCGACTCATAGTGACCCTATGCACAGCAGAACAAAACACTGCCCGGTCCTGCGCCAGCCCTGTGATCCCTGCTATACTTGAGCCCATTGCCGCAGCCACTGTGTCAATCCATCTCATTGAGGGCCTTACCCTCTTTCGTTGATGCTCCACCTTACCAAACATGACATCCTTCTCCAGGGAATGGTCCCTTGTGATAACATGACCAAAGTAGGTGAGACAAAGTCTGGCCATTCTCACTTCCAAGGAACACTCTGGCTGTACTTCCTCCAGGACAGATTTGTTAGTTCTTCTAGCAGTCCATGCTAACTAGAAGGCTGGAGGTTCAAACCCACCAGCCACTCCTCGAAAGGAAGGCTGGGCAACTACTTCCATAGAGATACTGCCTTGGAAACCCAAGGAGGGGTTGCTATGAGTTGGATCTGACTCCACAGCAGTGAGTTTGGTTGTTTTTTTGGTACTTTCAGCATTCTTCACCAGCACCACAACTCAAAAGCATCAATTCTTCTTCAGTCTTCCTTATTCATTGTCCAGCTCTAACATGAATATGAGGCAATTGAAAATATCATGACTTGTGTCAAGTGCACCTTAGTCCTCAAGAAGATATCTCTTTGTTCCTCAGCACTTAAAGAGGTCCTTTGCAGCTGACTTGCCCAGTGCTATACATCATCTGATGTCCTGACTGCTGCTTCCATTGACATCAATTGTAGAACCAAGCAATGTGAATTCTCTTCAATCTTTTCTCCATTTATCGTGATGCTGCTTATAGGTACAGTTGTGAAGATTTTTGTTTTCTTTATATTGAGATGTAATCCATATTCAATCTTCATCAGTAAGTGCTTCAAAGTCATCCTCACTTCAGCAAGCAAAGTTGTGTCATCAGCATATCACAGGCTATTAATGATTCTTCCTCTAATCTTGATGCTGTGTTCTTCATATAGTCCAGCTTCTCGGATTATTTGCTCAGCATATAGATTGAATAAGTATGGTGAAATGACACAACGCTGACACACTCCCTTCTTGATTTTAAACTATGCAGTGTCCCTTTCGTCTGTTCAGATGACAACATCCTGGTCTATGTATAGGTTCCTCAAGAGTACAATTAAGAGTTCTGGAATTCCCATTCTTCTCAATGTTATTCACAGTTTGTTATGATCCACACAATCAAATGCTTTTGCACAGTCAAGAAACACAGGTAAACATCTTTCTGGTGTTTTTTGCTTTTAGCCAAGATCTATCTGACATCAGCAATGGTATCCCTTGTTCCACATCTTCTTCTGAATCCAACTTGCACCTCTGGAAGTTCTCTGTCAATATACTGCTGCAAACATTTTTGAATTATCTTCAGTAAGATTTTATTTGCATGTGATATTAAGGATACTGTTCAATAATTTCCACATTCTGTGGGATCACCTTTCTTTGGAATGAGTACAAATATGGATCTCTTTCAGTCAGTTGGCCACGTAGCTGTCTTCCAAATCTCTTGGCATAACCAAGTGAGTGGGTCCAGCGGGGCATCTCTTTGTTGAAACATCTCAGTGAGTATTCCGTCAATACCTGAGCCTTGTTCTTTGCCAGTTCCTTCAGTGCAGCTTCAACTTCTTCCTTCAATATACCATTGGTTCTTGATCATATGCCACCTCCTGAAATGGATGAAGATCTACCAGTTCTTTTTGGTATAGGACTCTGTATATTCCTTTCATCTTCTGTTGATGTTTCCTGCATCATTCAATATTTTGCTCATAGAATCTTTCAGTATTACAACTAGAGGCTTAAATTTTTTCTTCAGTTCTTTCAGCTTGAGAAATGCTGAGCATATTTTTACCTTCTGGGTTTCTAACTCCAGG